GTCTATAAAAAGAGGGGGGGGGGAGTGTTATTTTTCAAAACTATACTTGAATTCAACTATATTTGAATTCTATATATATATTTAATTCTAAATATTCTAAATATATTCTATACATTTGAAATTATACTTGAATTCAAAACATTTGTATTAACTTCTAATACTGGAACACCATGAGGTCACCTCGTGGAAATAAACTCAGGATACATAAAAGAATAGACTTCTTTATACAATGCAAACAGATTTTCTTGCCACATCAGGGTGATGTGTACTAGTGCAGATGATTTTTTAAAAAAGGGCAAGACAAATTCATGGAGCATAACTCTATCCATGTCTATTTATCCTGATACCTAAATGGAAATTACATTTCTATCTAGGAAATGGCCCTTGCTCTGCTTTAGCGTGAGGTAGCTTTCTATTTCTATTGTATCTGCCTTTAAACAGATGGAAATTATCTATCTTAGCTTTGTCTAGAATCAGACTTCAGGCATACAAGAATATTTCTGCAACACCCCAGCCCACCTCTGCCCACACAAGGCAAAGGTAACTTCCTGGCCTTCTGGAATTTATCCAAACTAGGCTGTTCTGGATGGTCTTTGGAACTTGAGCACTTTAGGGCTCCCACTGCCAGGAACATATTAATTATAATTTTTACTATAGTTATGTATGCATTTCTGTCACTGTACTTTATTGTATGTTATTGTTGTTATTGCACTGGCTGCACACGTTGCTTTTGTATACTGTTTAGAGTAGTCTTCGCTAAGGCAAATGAAATGAAATGAAATGAAATGAAATACAAGGCAAAAACAAGTCTGCCAAAAGTGCCAACCTGGGCTGAGATAAGTCTAACAATAAGGACCTAGCTGATGGCAATAAAATACAAAGGCCCCATAGTGTATCATATGTAAATATCAGTACACGATACTACACTGCCTTGTGTTACAATGCTTTTTACATCTGAATGTTTAATTTGTGGTGGATTAAAATCTAAAAATGAGAATTAGAGGGAAAAAAATCCATCTAGTCTAGCATTCTATTTTCAACAGCGATCAGACATATGTTTCCAGGAGCCCCACAAACCTGAAGATGATGGACTCTTCTTGGCGGTTCTCACCCTTTTTAACATAGAGGCTCTTTGCATTCTGATTCATCAGCTAATAGAACAAGTAGGGCTTGTGGCCAAAAGTTGTGGTGAAGGACTTCTGTTCAGAGTGCCAGTCAAGCAGCAGTGCCCTTTCTAAATATACCATTCCACCCCTCTACACTCTTTTAGTTTTTCCCACAATCAGCATTCTACACAGACTGAACATATTCAGTTTTCATTGGATCGTTCAGTGTCTGGATTTTTCTTTTATTTTTGCTCCATATGGATTTTTTTCCATGCACCGTTTTCCTAAAAATATTTTTGTACTCCTATAACCTTTGCAATCAAACATAAACACACACACACACACACATATATAAACATAAACATAAAATAAAATAAAATTTTATTTTATTTATAAAGTTAAAAAAAACGGAGGCTCTCTGGTCAGTCACTCATGCCCTGGTCATCTCTCAGCTAGACTCTTGCAATGTGCTCTACATGGAGCCCCTACATGGAGCTACCTTTGAAGACTATCCAGAAGCTACAGCTGGTCCAAAATGCAGCCGCGCAGATAATTTTGAGTGCCCCAAGAACAGCACATATAACACCTTTACTACACGAGCTGCATTGTGTCCCAGTCTGCTTCTGGGTCCAATTCAAAGTGTTGGTTATCACCTTAAAAGCCCTACATGGCATAGGTCCAGGTTACCTGAGGGACCGTCTTACCCCTGTCACATCAACCCGTCCCACCCGGTCAGGCAGAGAGGGCATGTTGTGGGTCCCATCAGCGAGAGAATGTCAACTGGCAGGGGCCAGGAGGAGAGCCTTCTCTGCTGTTGCTTCCGCCCTTTGGAACATTCTCCCCCCAGAGGTGCACCAGGCCCCTACCCTACTGGCCTTCCGGAAAAAATTGAAGACCTGGCTCTGCCAGCTTGCTTGGGGGGATAACAACTTTACCCAATCCTGGGGGTGGCTAGCGCCCCAATGACGCTCCCTGAGTGATTGCCAATTATTTTGGATCTTTTTATTTTTTATTTATCATTGTAATTTTGTAATTTTAATTGTTTTGTAAACCGCCCAGAGTCATTCAACAAGATGGGCAGGGACAAATTCGATAAATAAAAAAAAAAATAAAAAAAATAATGAATAACGAAAATACTATGAGCACACCTAGACCAAAAAATCCCTTTACCTGCTTGGCAACTTAAAATGCAAGATTTTTAGAACATTTTTGGGGTGTGAGATGCGCACACATAAAAATTCAGAAGCAAGCATCATTGGAGAGGGGGAGCAGCACACAAACCCAAGCAGGAATAGATCCTTTATGGCTGCAAATTAGTCAAGTGCGGCCAGCCAAGCAAGAGCATAAACTGACCCAAAAGAATGTGAAGAGCTAAGGCAAAAATCTCTTTTGCCCATGAGAAAGAACAGATACAGGTTCACACACAACAGCAGCTTATCAGCAGAAATTCTGGTGCCTGCAGCCAAGAAAGGGGCTGTGCTCTAAAAATAGCAGACAGATACCATATACTACTCTACTTTATCAACTCCTTCTTCACTTTAGCTTGACAAGGGACTTCCTTTCTACTGTCTTCCTTAGCTGCAATGAGAAGAAAGCCAATGTTCACTGGAGATAAAATTGTTCTCTCATTTATTGTTTCAGAGGCTATTTCCCCCCAAATGGAGCAAGTGTTATTGCTCAAAATGTGGGTGCATAATCTGAGTTTTCAGAGCCACAGGTGGTCCTCACGTCCTCTCCCAAAGTTGCTAATGAAGAGTAATTTAATAAAAAATTTCCTTTGGTCACACAAAGGGCTTCAACTCCCTTTTAGCCATGCCATCTGGGAATTATTGGCAATTGAAGTCCAACATTTTTGGTCTATGATCATATATCTTAACACACTAAACTGGTCCAATGTATCTGGTGGGCACCAGCTTGGGGAAAGCTGGAATAAATGGTGACCCAAGAATGTATACACTAGAGAAATTTGCTTATAAAAAGTTTTTTGTACATTTTAAAAAGCAAACTTGGGTTTGAAAACTATGATCACTGTTTCTTACTATTCAACGTCATGTTCACCAGAAGAATTCAACTTACAGTTCTAATTGTCTCCACCTGCATGGCCCTTTGAATCAGAAGGTTATTGGTGTTGTCAATATTTCCCTAGATCCCTTATGAGTTGAGGGCTCCAAGAACCCTTACCTGTGGCATTCCTTTTAGGAAGTCAGGAAGTTGAAATTCACCTTTAAAAACCTGGGAGGAAAGAAACAAATGTTCCAAATATTAATACTTTTCCAGGCACCATTACATTCAACAGGGTATACAATGTATTTCAGGGAGCCATATTTCATTTCCCATCAACACTAGTCAGCACAGCCTATGGAAAGACCTGCTGGAGTTTATTTGTTTATACTATTTATATGGCTGCCCATCTTTCACGACTTTGGATGGCTAACAATAAATTAAAACCCCAACATTTACTAAAATAACATTGTGACCTAAAATACCTGGCTGTGGTCCAAAATATCTGATAGACATTCGATTGTCTACCCTTGACATGTTACACTGAGTATTAAGCTGGTAGAGAAGGGCTACAGGGAGAGGAGGGAACAGCTAACACAAATGACCCAATTCACCCCACACCCCACACTTTTTCTATTGGTCTCCTGACGTTCAGCAGAGGCTTTTATGGGGAGGAAATTACTACAAAGAGCACTTGGTAAGGAAAGATAAAGTAACATCAAAACTGGAAATGTTGCAGGACTGGCAATCTTTGACTCCTTGGATAAGAAACTGGGGGTGGATAGGCGTAGAGATTCAAGGAAGAGCCGGGAGGAAAGCTGCCATGAGTATAGCAGTCAACCAATTTCTATAGAGTGGTGGCAGCGCATCATGGCCTCTGGGTGATCTCAAAAACTAAGTTGGATAGTCAAAAACACTTCCTAGAAGGCTAAAGCAGACCACTTCTGTGTTGTTGCCAAAAGAACTACTGTAGATGGATATATACATGAAATCACTAGGAGCTGAGCTCAACTCATCAAGGAAGTTTTTATCAAAACCATGCAGACTGGATGCTTTTACTCCCACATTTCATTAATTCTCTTTCCAACTTAATGCCAAACAGTTGGATAAGCCAATTTATGTTGTAGTTTGGATGCTATGTTTACAATGTATTTACCATTATATATCGCTGTTAGTTCTGGTACTGTTTGAAATTTTGCATTTATCATGGCTCATTTAGTTGCATGACCAAAGAGGAGGAGATACAGGACATTTCCAACCTCTGGATGAATTGGACCTCAACTCCAAGAATTGTTAGGCAGCAAGACTAAAGGGAGTTAATATCCCAACATACTTTCAAGGCCTCAAGTAGCAGAAAAATGTGCTATGCCAGACCCATTTGGATGAGAGGATGCTAACAAGACCTTTATCAAATCCAATGCTTCTTTGAAGGACACAGTAGTGACTTGCACATTGCTCTCTTCTTGACTTCAATCCCCAACCCGAAGATTGTATATTCCCAAAAAGTGTCCTTTTTTTTTTTGCCCACCATGTTCTATAAAGCACCATGAAGTGTATTATAGCACCAGCCTAATTTTTCAGTGAAAAGGAGAGACAGACAGACAGACACTTATAAATAAATACAGTTTGGCAATGTATCCCCAGCCCACTTTACCCTTCTTGTGTTTTCAAGGACTTTCTGATCCGGCTTCCCATAATTGGGTGGGTTGGCATAGGGGTCGTAGCCAAGCTTCCCCAACATTGGTGCGATCACTGGCATATCCTGAAGGACATCAATGGGGACTTTTCCAACCCATTTCGACAAGGCCTCCACGTTTACTGGCTTAATAACTTGGTCCGTAGATCTTTCAACTCTGCCCCAAAATATACACATGCATATATTAATTGATACAGTTGCATGAAACTTATGCTCACAAAACAATGGAATGCAAGCTATACCTGCTTTCTGTTAACTTTCCCCACTGCACAGTTGATATGTTGATCCATCTTTGAGTTGGAGAAATCTGAACCAGCATGTATACAATCTGTGCTATCCCCATTGCTACTTCTTATCCTATTTCTATTGCTTTTGTTTCCAGTCACTGCCAGTCCCCAGTAGAGCAAAGCCTTACAAATTGCGCACAGCTTGAGGGGCCTTTGGATAGGGTCAGAATAAGGGGAGAAACCCTATGGATGACATAAAGCCATCGCAGTCATGGACTGGAGATGAGAGGAAAGCAAAGTCATTGGGTCACACAGAAGAAAGATGTTGCCAGAATATGTTTGTGCCATGGTTAGGTGCAAGTGGAGAAAAGCCCTTAGTTAAGAAAAGGGCTTCCAGGTCAGAGTGTGACACATACATTTTCCCCCACCTAGAAAAATGAAGGCTTGTAGGACAAAAATGGAATAATATGGAGAAAAAATGTTTGGGGTTTTCCCCCATTTTCCACCCTATTACTATTTGTTTTTTCCAAAGAATAAAATAATTTTTTAAAAAACCAATGAAATCTTTTCTTTTAAAATATTCATACACTAAAATGATGCTTAATAACTACTCTTTATTTTGCCCCAAATCTAATCACTTGTAATTTACCCATAGTACCAGAATGCTACACTTTTGGTACACAAATGACTATGAGGTAAAAGAGTACAAAGCTTGCCTCAATCTGAGCAAACCTCTTGTCTTAAGAACCGGAAGTCTTTCAAGAGGGTGAAAATAAAGTTTCAGAAAACACAGAAACTGGTAGTAAAGTAATAATAGCTCAGAAAATAGGCAATGCCTAAAGGCAATATTTTTATGCAAGGGATCTTTCTGTTTTTTCCTGTTTTCTTCAGCTCTTTTTGTAAAAATGTAAACACATGAAAGAGTTAAGAGAATACATAATCCTATTTAAATGTCATGTTGTTCTTGTTTTCTTTTCACAGTCTTATTTATGCCACTAAATCAAACTGAAAAAATTAAGAGTTCCCAGATTTCTTAGAGTCCATTAGCTCAAACTGTAACAAAACGGTTTAAAAAATTAAACTTAACGAATGTAAATTATTGTCTGATCAGAATTAAAATTTTACATTTAATAAATATACAAAAATGATAGTAAACCAAGATATACTTAATCCAGTTTATGTTCCTAAAGTAGATTTGTAAAGGATAATATGAACAGAATTACTGCATATATTTCCATTTTACCTCCAGAAAAAAATGAGAAAATTTGTTTTTCTTCCACAGCTTCAACATATCCAGAAATTTTATATCTCTATTTCACCTCTGTCACTTTCCCTCTAAATGCCCACATCTCCTCTTAGCAGGAGAGGGTAGCGTGAGGCCTCAGCATGTCCTACAGCCCCTCCAGAGTCTAGAACATGATTCCCAGGTCATCCCAAAGTCGCTACTAATTGTAATTCTTGAAACAACAGGAGGAAAAAAATGGTGAAGTCATTAAAGAATAATCCAGTTAATTTGATGAGCCAATATGATTTTAACAACATTTTAAATTAAATTATTTACTTTGTTTTATTTGTTAGATTATATCATGGCTTTTGTCTAGGAGTTCAAGGCAACTAATGGGCGGGGGGGGGGTCCACTTTATCCCCAGACCATCAACTCTGTGAGGTGAGTTGGGATGAAAGAAAGCAACCAGTATCACTCAATGAGTTTCCATGGCAGAGGATGGACTTGAACCAGGGTCCAATAACTTAACTAAACTTTGGTTAGTATTAACTTCAGTTAATACTAATCAAATGTAGCATGTTGTGCAATGTATCTGCTAGGTCTTTAACTGTCCTGGTAAGACAAGTTATGTAAACACAGTCTGGGCTTGTAATTGAGAAAGGACAGATAGAACCATCACTAATTGCCTGACTGAATCTGCATGAATATACCAAGAATTCAGGACTATCTAACAAAATGGATTGTCATATGTTTTGGACAGATGGAAGAAAAGTCTTCTTCTCAGTGTTTCACTACAATTTGGAACTCACCACCAAACGATTTTAATGGACCACCTCGATGATCTTAATGGACAATCAGGCATATTCACAATGAGAGGAGAGAGATGTCATTGTGGCCAGCAGCCATGATGAACTAACTAAACCTCCATGTTTAGAGGCAGTCTTATTTCTGAATACCAGCTCCCAAAGCAATTATGGGAAGAGGCCTTTGGCTTGAGAATTCCTGATAGGATCTGGCACACGAACGATAGAAGCAGAGGTGTGTGGTATCTGGATCCAAAGCAGGAAAAGTGCTTCAGATTCAGCCGCTCCTTTAAAAAAAAACATACAAACCCAGGAAAAGACACAGCATCTTGAAGGAAGCTCCAACAGGTACAGCAAAGCACTTTTCCAGCTTCAGATTCATACCTGTCCCTAAAATAGCTGAAATTCATATTCTCAGTTACCAGTAGGGAGGAAAAGGGCCACCCAGCATCTTCAGGTAGGGCTGGAGCAAACCCTATCTGAAATCCAGAAAGTCTGCTGCCAATCCCTGTCAAGGTTTTTGAGCCAGACAGGTCGAAAGCATGACTCCATATTAAGCTTCTTCCTCTTTCTCCAAGAAGCCCTCACTCTCTCAGCTTGAAACACAGGACAGCAAATAACATTCCCTCCTACCCCACAAAAAAACCCACACTGTAAATTCCTCCATGAATTGCTCCTGTCTGCGGCTCTGCTGACAATAATAAAGGAAAAAACCCAGTTCGGCTGCTCCCTTAAAAAATGACATTCTCCCCACCAGCTCCAGCTGTTTTTCATTAAGAAGAGGGCAAATGCTGAGCTACAGTGCTAGTTATGGCAAAGCTCCATGCAGCCAGCCTGTCAGCCAAGAGCCACGCTGGCGATGCTTTTCAGCCACAGCACATCTCGTGCTGTCTTGAGTTACTGCCAGTTAGGGCAGCCTCTTCTCACATCAGCGTCAACCCAGGGGTTTTTTTTGGGGGGGGTATGGAATGAATATTACTATAGGACTGGCCTTGGCACCCAAACCATAACAGAAGCTGGATAACAGGGATCCAACGTGGAGGTTAAAAACTGCTGTAAGATTTGTACAGCCTCTGAGTACTACTCTGAGTAAATATTGCTTCATAAGGGTGTGGGGGGAGGGATTAAGTCCAGTGGAATGAGAGGACAAATAAATTGGACTGCTAAGTTTATGAAACATTTCTCCTTACCCCATGCATGCACCACACACCCACGGCACAGCCCAGGGTGCAAACAATTTCCATCAAGCTGATTTGCTAAGCATTCTTTTTAATGGTCCAAACTGCAGATTAATTGGGAGCTAATCAAACTTTCTCTTTTTATTTAAAAAGTGGGGGAAACTCTTTTTTATGTCCAGGGGACCTAATTTTAGGGAAAAGGGAAGGAGAAAGAGGAGGATTATTTGTTGCAGACACACACGTAGAGGCATGTATACCTACAATGAGAATTCTAGCTAAAAGAAGAATGGCTTAGAACAGTCACTCATGCAGAGACACACAACAGGGAGATCTTCCAAGACCTGGCAATTCTGAAATCTTTCCAGACCATGAATAATTGAATTATCCAATCAGAGCTGATGGCAGAGGTACTGCAGAATTACCCCCACCCAGAAGAACTTGATCAATACAAAGTAACCAATTACACAGAGCCACAATAGGTAATTTTCCTGCATAATGACTGATTGAATGATCCAATAGCACTCAATGCAGAGATGCATGAATGAGAAAACTGTGGCCCTAGAGATGCAGGCTGCCCCTGTAGACTCCTTCTGCAGCCCTTAGGACTCCCTGAAACCATGACTGCTTGCACCTGATGGCCCAATTTCCTGCCATTATGCAAAACATATGAAACCTTTAGTGTAAATCTTAAAATAATTAAAATCTAAAAATCCATAAAAACATGTCCCAAACTCCTAAAAACTCAGTCCAACATACATTTGGGATATGGTCCCATCTCACTTTCTCTCAGCTTCCCCTCAAATATTATGCAGGATTTGGTCACAAAAAAATCTGTCGACTCTTGCCGTAATGGAAGCTGCTTTAAAGAAGGAAGGCCAGTGACTCATACAGAGATGCAACATGTATTTTTATTGCCATTTCAATATATGCATTCTTTATGGCCAGCAGTTATTTTCTTGTCATCCAATACCACACTGTGGCATGTAAGTTGGGACTGATCAGTGGCTTCAATGCCATAAACAGTATTTACTGTTAGCATCTAAACCACCAGTAAACCACCAGGATCAATTTTCCACAATGGGAC